AGTGGCTTGACGACGAACGAGCTTGTTTCCGTGGTGACTTTAACTCAATCACAAAGTCCACTGAAAAGCAAGGAGGGGCAAGATTCAATCCGGCCAAAACGAGAGCTTTTAACTGCTGTATTGAAGATTGCGGATTGATGGACTTGGGGTTCACTGGGCCGAGCTTCACCTGGTTCACAAGTAAGACTAGGATCAAGGAGAGATTGGATCGGGCACTGTGCAATGTAGCATGGCAGCACAAGTTCCCCGAGACAACGAATTACCATCTCACCAAAATCAGGTCGGACCACAGACCTTTACTCATCTGCAGTACAGGACTGAAAGACAAAACAAGACTCGCAAGGAGATTTCAGTTCCTTGCGGCATGGCTTGGACACGAAGATTTCCTTCCCCTTGTTGCTGAGTCATGGAGAAAGGATCAAGAGTTCCTCCAGTCTCTTCGCGACCTCACAGAGAACCTGAAGAGCTGGAACAAGAACACCTTTGGGAACATCTTTAAAAGGAAGAGGGAGCTCAAGAACAAACTCAAAGCTTTGGAATTGAGAAACCAGAGCTACCCAACTGAGACCTCGATCCAGGCAGAACAGGGCACTCGTGAGGAGCTGGAGGAAACACTTTGGCAAGAAGAGCTCCTCTGGATGCAAAAGTCCAGAACAAAGTGGGTGAACCAGGGGGACATGAATACCAACTTCTTCCACACTAGTACACTCACGAGAAGGAAGAGGAACAAAATCAAAGGACTGAGAGATGAGACGGGACAGTGGATTGTGGATCCAGATCGCCTTCAAACAATGGCAAGAGAATTCTATATTAAACTCTTTAGAAGAGAAGAGGGTGAAGGAACCTTTGATGTTCTTGCTGACTTCCCTCCCCTGGATGAGGCCACCATAAACAGATTTGGGAAACCCCCCCTGCTGCAGGAAATTCAAGCTGTCCTGTCAAAGATGGGGGGACTCAAAGCGCCAGGAAAGGATGGATACCACGCGCTGTTCTACCAGAAGTGTTGGGATGTGGTGGGAGGCGACCTCTACAGATTTGTGGTCTCCTGCTTCGCGAACCCAGAAAGAATCAGAGATGTCAACGCCACCCTCCTTGCCCTGATACCCAAAGTGGAAGCACCTTGTGATATGACACAGTTCAGGCCAATAAGCCTATGCAACGTCAACTACAAAGTGGTGGCCAAGTGGATGGCGGAGAGACTTAAACCCCTCATGGAACCACTAATCAAACCCAACCAATCCACCTTTGTCCCAAACAGGAATATTACTGACAATATTCTTGTATTGCAGGAAACGGTCCACTCAATGGCTAGAAAGAAAGGAAAGAAAGGGGACATGATCCTCAAGATTGACTTGGCAAAGGCGTACGACAGACTTGACTGGAGATTCCTTGAAGAAACTCTCGTTGCTGCTGGTATCCCAGAAAAAGGAGTCAAGATGATTATGGCATGTGTGACAACCACTGAACTCCAAGTACTTTGGAACGGGGGAGAAACTGAAGCCTTCAAACCAAGCAGAGGCCTCAGACAGGGATGCCCCCTATCACCCTATCTTTTTACTTTATGCATTGAACGATTAGGACATTGCATATCTAGAGAAGTTAGGGAAGGAAAATGGAAACCAGTTCGACTCTCTAAAGATGGACCTGATCTGTCTTATCTGTTCTTTGCTGATGACCTTGTTATTTTTGCTGAGGCTAACACTAGACAAGCAGATGTGGTTATGGATTGTATTGAGAGGTTCTGTAATGCTTCAGGGGAGTTAATCAGCAAAGATAAATCTCGAGTCTTTTTCTCGAAGAATGTTAAAACAATAGATAGGGATTGCATCTGTAACAGACTTGGGATTCAAAGCACTCATGACCTAGGCAAATATTTAGGTGTCCCAGTCCTGCATGGTAGAATTAAAAGGTGCACCTATAAGTACATTTTGGAAAAAATTGACATGAAACTCACAGCTTGGAAGGCTAGAACACTCTCCCTTGCCGGCAGAGTCACCCTTGCAACTGCTATTCTGAATGCTATCCCAGTTTATGCTATGCAAACCTCTGTTCTTCCTTTGACAGTTTGTGACGAAATTGACAAAAAGATCAGAGGCTTTGTGTGGGGTTCTCAAGATGGGAAAAAGAAAGTTCACTTGGTCTCATGGAATACAATTTGTAAACCCAAAGATCAAGGAGGACTGGGCTTAAGGACTGCCAGAAGCCTTAATCTGGCTTTCCTCATTAAGCTTTCTTGGCAGATACTGAAAAAAGAAAAGTCTTTGTGGGTGCAGGTTTTCCAAGGAAAGTACTTTAACCATAAAGATGGAGCCATCACATCAATGAAAACCAGCAACCACTCCCCTTTGTGGAAAGGCATCCTTCGAGCTATGCCAATTATGGATTCTGCTACTGTTTCAAACTTGAGAGATGGGAAAACCACCAAGTTCTGGAGCCAGGCATGGATTGACACTGGCCTTGTGCTTGAAGACCATCTCCTCATTGACATTGAGGATAATGAAAGGGAGGAACCAGTGTGCAACTTTGTCACTGTTTTAGGAGAATGGAATTGGGAACGTTTGCATGGAAAACTCCCTGATAATGTTTTGTCTCTAATTGCAGGTACTGAAACGCCAAAGGAAGGGCAAGGTGATGACAAAACTCTGTGGGGACTGGAACCAGATGGCCGATTCAGACTCAAGTCAGCATACAAGCTTGCTACTGAGGAGTTGGAGCCAACCGAAGAGGAAGATTGGAAGAAGCTCTGGAAGTGGAAAGGTCCAAACAAAATCAGACATTTCCTCTGGCTGACATTCCATGAGAGACTATTGACCAACCAAGAAAGAGCTCGAAGACAAATGACGGATGATGGAAGCTGCAAGCACCCAGGATGCAGCAGCCAGGAAACGACAGAGCACATTCTTAGACAATGCAAGAAAACTGAAGAAGTCTGGAGGAAACTCAGACATTCTGTCACTGTTTTTGACAACAGCATCCCTTTCAAGAGATGGATTATCGAGAACCTGAAGGATGAAGAGAAGGGGACTGATTTTGGGATCATCCTCTGGCACTTATGGAAACAACGCAATGAAGAAGCCCTTGATGGAAAAAATTACTGTGAACAAAGTCTGCTGCACAGAATCCTTGCCTATTTTAATATTGTGAGAAATGCAGCCAAGAACAATGATATGATCAAGGCAGGGGGGATCAACAAGAAGGAGAGGAGACATCTTGCCTGGATACCACCTGAGGAAGGATGGATGATGCTCAACACAGACGGATCTGTGATTGCTGAAGAAGGAAAAGCTGCTGGGGGAGGACTCCTGCGAGACCACCTCGGACGCTGCCATGAGGCCTTCTCAATGAATCTTGGAAACTGCACTATTACAAGGGCAGAATTGAAAGCTGCTGCAACAGGACTTGCATCAGCATGGAGGAAAGGGTATAGGAAAATTAAGCTGTGTATGGACTCTACCACTGCTATCAGCATCATCAAACAAAGGGATGATAACGATCATAGACATGGGACCCTTGCGCTGGAGTTCAAGAGGCTTCTCTCCCTTAGTTGGGAAGTTCGGATTGAGCATGTTTTTAGAGAATGTAACTGTGCTGCAGATTTTTTAGCCAACAGAGGCCATAGTCTTCATTTTGGTACACATCCTATCGATGTGTACGATCCAGGCCTTTGTCACTGGATCAATTTTGATGTCATGGGTATATCCCAAGAACTTTTAATTTCTAATGCATCCTAAGACGCCATTGGTGTCTGTCTTTCTACCAAAAAAAAAAAGAAGTTTAGATTGCAGGTTGAACAATACGACGAAGATGAGTTATTGTTACTGTTATAGGTGACCAAACATATATTTATCCAATGCCACATTTGGTCACAGAGATTACTAAATCGTGTCATGTTTAGTCACTAGAAAAATTTAATATCAATTTTGGTCACTCAAATTACTGAAACAAGTCACATTTAGTCACTCTCCCGTTAGCCTCCGTCCAACTCCGGTCGCTCGAAATTCGAATTACGGAAACATGTCACATTTAGTCACTTGAATTACTTAAACGTGTCACATTTAGTCACTCTCCCGTTAGTTACGGAGGTTAACGGGAGAGTGACTAAATGTGACCTGTTTTAGTAATTTGAGTGACCAAATTTGATATTAAATTTTTCTAATGACTAAACATGACACGATTTAGTAATCTCAGTGGCAAAATATGGCATTTACCCTTTATCCTTCTTAATATATAAAATCATCATAGATATAATAACCAAACATTTTAATCTTAAAAATACATTCATTTTCAAAATGCTTACATTTATAATACATGCATTCATAAACTATATCGATTATAACAAACACAAGTGTCAAACTAACATATAAAGACATAGCAAGACATGCCAAAATGAACCATTGCTCTAAATAAATTCACCATTACATACTTAACAATTCGAATTATAATCAGTGGCAGAGCCACCTTGCATTAGGGTGGCTGTAGGGCACCTAAAATAATAATACTAGTACACAACTCACAGTACTTTTCTCAGTATTTCATGTTCACGATTTTATTTATCTATCAATAAATTCTAGAGTTTTGTAACACACAAGCATGAACATTGCATATTATATAAATAACTTTAGATTTTATATAAAAATGTGTCTTTAATTGCTTCTTATAAGTTTACTAATTCCTAATTTAGTATTTAATTCTTTATCTTCAAATGAAAAATATGTCGGCAGAATATAAACAAATATCGTGAGTCGTTTAAATATTGTGAGTTTTGTATCGTAATTCATGTCTTTAAATATATTAACAAATCATTTTCTATTAATTCAGACTCAGGTAAATGAGATCCTGACTACGCCACTTATTCTAATGTCACTTATAGGGAAAAAAATATAGGAAAATTATATGATTAACAGAAAGATCTGACACAGTGCACACCTATAAAAATAGGTGAGTATGAGGTCTTTTCTAGAAATTATTTTTCCTCGAAAGAGTTGAGAAATTGCAATTAAAGGACTACAATAACAAACAAGAAATAGATCGAGAGTGAAGACAAATTCAAAGAGTTTATAAATATTTCACATTTTCAATGTTGTTTGTGGAATATATCTCTAGCTCATCATTAATTAATACAAGAAAATTAGACCTTTTGAAATAACTCCCTACACTATTCTTCACCAACACCCCTCCTCATAAACATCACGATCTTGCTGCCAATGTTTGATATCGACAATTAATGTACACAAGACAAAATGTCACAACCCCCCAAATTGTTTTTGGAACCCCATTTTTCCTCTCAATCTTCAAGCTGCGGCAGACATTCTTGCGGATTAGTGTAAAAATAGTCTTCGTCCTTCGGCTTACCAGGAATCTCCAGCCTCCTCGTCGGCTGCCCCATTTTATCCGAATGAGCTTCCTTCACCGCGGTCGAGAATTCCTCCCAACTCAAGCCTCCATTTTTGTACCGATCAACCAGCCCCACGATAGCCTTCCTGTCAAGCAATATAGTCTTCCTGTGCCCTAAAAACCTAGCCCAACAACAAGAAAAAAACAACTTAAAAACAATGCCATTGGGAATCCTTGTTTGATCCGGATTCAATTAACCAACCTTCTATGTCCTTCAACAACCTTGGCCATGTTCCCGCCATAAGTCGGTGCGAAAATGTCGGCCTCGACGGCCACATGGTAATCCAGCGCAGCCATCTGGTTTGAATGGTTCATGAATGGTGCCAGGTCCGATTCTCGGAGTAATGTCTCTTTCTTGACCAGCCTCGGGAAGGCTTTCCTCATGCTGGCTAGCCTCCTCTCCCCGCCATAGATATCTCCCGCCGCGATGTAGATCTGAATCTTGGGGTCGATGTCCAGTGCCTGGAGCGCCAGTGTTGTTTCCTCTGGGGTCAGAGGGCACAACCCTTCTTGCCTCACTTTGTCCGAGTCGATCTCCTTCACTTTCCACCATGGATATGCATACCTGAAGAAAAAAATACATGGGCAAAAAAGGGAAAAAACGAAGTTCCACGTGTTGTTTTTTCAAAAAAATTCACTATGGGTTTTAACTTGGAGAACAAAGGTTATTTGTGATATTTTTGTTACGTCGTACCTCATTGCTGTGAGTTCCTGGATCTCTTGAGCGGAGCATCCTTCGTTGCATCCTGAGAAGGCCAACATGTCCATCTCGTATCTGAGATGGAGAACTAGGAACTGGCCGTTTTGTTTGAGAATTCTGACAATTTTTTTGGCCAACTTCTCGATTGGAGGAGCGAATCTCAACGCCTGGTAGTTGACTCTGCACCTCAACTTTTGAACTTCCTCGGGGATGCCGTTGTTGGCCAATCTGGCATCTGACTTGGTGAGTTGAAGGACTTCGAATGACTTAATTTTTGGTAGGATCTGTTCATAGAACGAATTAAGAAACAAACATTTATTACTGAATATCTCCGGACAACTTAAGTTTATTGACACCAACGAGTTCTTGACGGAGCAAAAAATGAATGGTTGAGTTTTCTTTGTGGCTTTTTAATGAAGGGGGGAGACCACGAACCTTGTTGTAGTAATATGACATGTTGGACCAACTGACAGGCGCCATAGAGTATAGGGAGCCTGTATCAATGATCTTCTGCTTTGGATCTTCAGGCAGTAGTTTCAGTATCTTGACTTCATCTCTTAGAGATGCAATGAAATAGTCCACGTTGAATATGTTAGCAAATTGGCTGCAAAAAAGAAAATGCATCAGATTGAAGCATATTAGTTTAACCATATAAGAAACATGGTTAATTACATAAATAATATATGAATCTTTTACTACTCTTACATACATGAAATATAAAAAATTATTATACCAAAAAAATTTAGTGTTTATTTTACAAACACAATAGAATCTAAAAGACGGGGAAAAAGTATTTGGATTTGGATTTAACGTACGAACGTACCTCTGGTCATTCCAGAAGGAGGTATTGTCGAGTTCAGGAACAATCAATGTGACATTCAGGAACCTTGCAATGGCCACCATGTCACATATCTGACACAAGCCAACATCCAAGTTATAAAAATTAAAGAAAAAAAATTGAACCCTCTCATAATCTAATGGTTCGATCAAGAATTGTAATATACACAATAATAGTAATAATATATAGTAACGAAGGTAAAGGAAAAATAAAATAGACTTACACCGGATCTCATCTGGTTTAATCCTCCATTGGAAGATATCATCAAATACCCATTGCTCTCATAAATCCCTGAAGAAGAGCCCAATTTCCAGAAACAACCAACCAGCCGTCATCAGTACTACCTTCAACAACATTCGACAACACACACACACACACATATATATATATATATATATATATATATATATATATATATATATATATATATATATATATATATTACCGTTTTCCCACGACTTACTCTCGGGAGGAAGAGACTTGTAGAAATCCGCGTCCACGTCAGCACCTCCGGGGCCGCCCCGGCCGGCGAGCGCCCTCAACTGAAAGAGGATGCAGAGGGCGAGGAACGCGCCGGTCAGGCGCGTGGCCAAGTTTTTGAACATGGCGATGCGGAGTTTTGAAACGACGGCGCTCTTCATCTTCTCGGCCTTGATCATGTTCATGTAGTAGATCTTGTTCATCAGCTTTATCTTGCTGTAAGGCTTCTCGTCGTCGGTTTTTTCTTGGTAGCATGGTGATGATTCAAACTGCTTGTCGTCGTCGTCGGCGGTGGAGGAGAGTTCACGGTGGCTGAGGAGGCTGGGTTCATGGTGGTGGTTGTGGTTGTGGAGGAGAAAGCCTTCTTCCAACTGCTTGTTCAAATGCTCCATGGCGGTGGCCGGAGATGGATCGAAACCCTACGTGCGTGCACTGCAGCGGGCTTGGAAGGGGAAGTTGGGGAATGGGTTTTTTTATTTTATGGAGGGAAGGGAATATACTAATAATTGGAGATTATTATTCGAGCCAAATACAAACAACTGAAAATTTGTTTCTCGTCGTGTAATGGGAATTTAGTGTTCTATGGAAGTTTATGTGAGGTGATGTATTTTTCGGTAAATACATATAGGTCTTCTAAGGGGGTAAGGAAATTTATTTTAGGATTTAAGGGTGGAGAGGGACAAATAGAGAGTGACTCGAATTCAAATAGGTGAAGTTCCATGCGAGATTAATTCAAGTATAAGAAAAACAATAAATATATTTACAATTTTGTATTCAGTGAGAGAGAAAAAAATCACATATAAAGTTGACCTATCACCTATGTGAATCATAGTATGATTTATGACTGGACTATGTGAAATTTAGCAAATAGTTAAACAACGAGCCCGTGATCAGCGTAATTGCAAATAGAGAGATTTATAAATGGTGTGATCGACTTTCGATGAGTAAGCTCTGGTGTTTTTTGTTTTGCCACAAATGATATGTGTAGTCATATTGTACGATCCAACGATTTTCAACGATATGTAAGCTTTGTTGTTGTTTCACTATATTATTATGAGATTGTAAATATCATAAATTCGTTTTATGGTATAAACATTACCATAGAAGACGCAAAGATCGGAGAGTGTGTATTTATTTATGACAGATTCTTTTCCTTTTTTGGAAGTGAATCATGATAGATGCTTATATGCATGCATATACTTGGAAATAAATCGATGAATGAATATAGAGACTTAATGCGTGCATATATAATTATATCAAACACAAGAAAATAACAATAATGCTTAATTAATAATTTTTCTTTTCGTTGAATTTAATTAATTAATTAATTTAATTAATAAATTCGTTTAGATGGGGGGACGTCAATCATTGAATTTCATCCCATCTATGACTATGTACATAGCAGGAAAATAGGGACGGTATATTCTATCAACGATCTCCATGTACGTATTCATAACCATCCATCGTCAATTATTATTTATTTATTTATTTATTGATTTATAACGGGAGTAAATGAGATTTTATGAGCACGCAACGCAACATTTATTTTAAAATTTATTTATTGGGTGAATAGTTTAGCCATCCGTACGTCGAATCGTCGATTGCTTTCATTTGCATGCAGTAATCCAAATTGGTAATTGTCAAACGTGTTTCCTTTCCACCATATATCTCTTTTCAGGTTTGTTTCTACTCCATCAATATATAGCAATACAGTATTAATATTAGGGTTAATATTTTTGTATGACCTGAAATTTGACCAAAATAAATATTGTGGTCAATTTTTTCGATCTATAACATCCTGGCCCGAACTATACACCAAAATAAACAATTTGGCCAGATCCGACTTTTGGACGGTCAAACGCGTTGACCATTAGTCAACGCGCCATGTCACTATAAAGTCAGCATAAAATATTTAAAATAATTCACAATTTCCACACATTCCCTAATTTTAAATTATTATAAATTAAAAAAATCATCTAATACCTTAGTTAAACCAAAAATAAAAAAAATTACATATTTATCAGATCTTTTGACTTGGCAGTGACGTGGCGCGTTGACCGTTAGTCAACGCGTTTGACCGTCCAAATTAACGGTCAAACATCGGGTTTGGCCAAATTGTTTATTTTGGTGTATAGTTCGGGTCATGATGTTATAGATCGAAAAGATTGGCCAGGATGTTTATTTTGATCAAAATTCAGGCCATACGAAAATATTAACCCTTAATATTATGATGGAAAGGGTATGTGCATGGAGCATACTCTTTGCTTTGACGAACACTTCTCTCCTGTTCTTCACGTCCCGACGCCGGCAGAAAGCATTAGCAGCATGCATTAATCCGACCACATTGACGATCAATTCATCCAAACGACCCCTTAGTCATTTGAATGAGTCATTTGATACCAAATGACTCGTTTGTTAAAAAAAATGCATTAGTCATTTGGCTCATACGAAAATTTCAAATGCATGAGTCGTTTGCTCCATTATATTGTCTATCACCGATTTTTTTCTTTTTGCCGAATTTCATAAGCGACGAACAAGACCTTCCATCTTATCGTGTCTCCATCATTTTCTCATGACTATAGCTCTATGTGTCATCGGAGTTATTAACCCGAATGTGAGACTTATTGAATCTTTACATTTTATAAAGACATTTAATATTAGAAAGTATTATACACGTTTCGTAATCATAAGTTTTATTGGTTGCACGGATGAAGTTCTTTGAGTTTGAGTTCACACAGTAATAAACTTGCCATCTTTTGCACTTGTTACGTCCACACAAAAGCTCGAGTAATTCTCTGTATAAACTGGCACGTCATTGGTCCCATCTGAACCTACTTTGGTGCATATATAACCCTACCAAACATGAAACAGCTGATGAATAAAATGGCTTCCTCGTTCCTCCAATGTAAAAGAACCATAAACAAAGTGCTGTGTTCTACCTGTAGGGTCTCAGATTCTCATTTCACATAGTATAAAACAACTGAATGGTTAAAGGTCGTCCTAAAAATTACTAACCATTGTCCTAACTTAATATGTAATTTACCAAATTGCCCATTTTGAATTTCAAAATCAAACACAAAACAAACAACTCCTCCCCTTCCATAAATCTAAAAAAATATATAAACCAAAATTCAACAAATTATCTTATGGACCGAATCATAAATCGTAGTAAAAGAATAGAAAATTATTGATATAAACCAAACAAATCCAAAAAAAACCCAAAACCCCTCAATCGAAGCCAATTTTCGGTTGTATCATGGCTCAACCTAAGGCAATTTTCGGTTGTACCATGGACCAACCGAAAATCACCTTCGGTTGAGGGGTTTTGGAATTTTTTTTGAAAAAAAATCAGATTTTTACCTCGTCGGAGTCGCTACTCATGATTCGGACGTATTCTCAACGATTACGACTCGAGAATGCCAACGATGAATTCGAGAGTGTAGGAAATTGAGTGTTTTTCATTTTTTTAGTTAAAGTGATGTTTGTTTGCTAAAAATGCCAAAAGGTTAAAAGTGTAACTTTGTTATTTTTTAGGACGATCAATAGTAATTTTAAGGACGACCTTTATCAATTCCCAACAAACACCTCGAGCCCAAGCCAAGCTGACGACCCCCTCCACTTCTGACCTCCGAACAATCGATCCATCGCCCAGGTCCTTAACCCGAAGCAAGAACTGCTCACTGTCATTAACATCGACTGTATTATATATGCAATGAAATTGTGTTCTGGCGAAACTCGACATGCTTCCACATGAAGTTAGCCTGTGATATCCATTCTCAGAACAGGTTCTCTCGATTTCCAGAGGGGACTTTCGCGGCCTCCGGAGGGGATCCCGAGTCCGACGGTAGCGAAAAGGAGGTTGATTGCAAGGCAACCCAACTCCAAAAGTGAAGACCCTTCCTTCTTGGAAAGAAGAGCAGACGTCTAGTATGAAGGCAAACTACGGGCTTTCCTCATTAAGAAAATAAACTTGAATTCAACGGTTCTGTACAGGGTAAAACAACAAAAGAAAGAGCTAGAAACGGAAACAAAAAGAATTCCACCCTGCAAACTTTCTAAATAAGGGTGATCAATCAACAGTCTGCAACCTTTTCCCCAAGTTTCTAGTAGTTTTAGCACGTACTACATGAAATTGCCACTCTTCTTCTCAGCTCTTTACAGAAGCTGCTGGTTTTGCACTTGATCCTAGCTTGAAGCTGGAGCATCTGCTGCCTTCTTGGGCGCCTTGAGATCATCTTCAATGTCCTGCGATTCGAACACATGTACATGTTAATTGGGAATGCAAGGTATGCAACTTGATGAGAGCTGGCCATTTTTGGCAGGAAGAACTTACTGAATTATCAATCTTGTCGAAATCATCTTCAAAGTTACCATCACCATCATTGCCGATATCTGAATAAGGGGGAGGAGACGGTTCAAAAAAGCAAATAAGTGGGGAAAGGAACATGGAACAGATTACAGAAGAATCCGAAAGGCAAAAGCAACAACTACGAATTTTGCACTAAAGAAGATGGTACCTGCTCCTCCATCACTATCCTCGAGATCACCCAAGAGAAAGGTATCCAAGTCCTGTTCTGTGGACACATTCGACTTCTTACTTTCCAGGCTCCTTTCTGCACCTTCTGGTACAGATGGAATTATAGCTGCAGTTAGCTTGCTTTTCTCCTCTTTTATCTGCTCCTCAGCTTTGCGCTTTAACTCTTCCATGTACTCTTGTTCATACCTGGGTTTCAGCATACATTCACGCAACATCAGCAAGCATTTGGTGCTAAAAAGCCTGGTGCATTCCAGAAATTATAGATTTGTATACAGAGGAAATGGGGAGACAATGCAGCAAACAGTTCGAGACGTACGATCCAACGTGAGTGCTCACTATTGTGAAATAAATCCTCCAGAATCTCCGTTCTTTCATAACACGTGGGCACAAATCGTATCTCAATTTTGAGATTTGCTGCAAATAATAGAAGCAAATTAAGAAAATCAGAGACACTTAGGAAGAAAGAAATTGCAGAATACCGCTGATAATAATGAAAATCTCAGCATTTGAATCAGGTTCCGACTTTCAACATAGGAATTCGATATGAATGTGTTCAATTCAGCAACCATGTACACAGTCAACCTACGAAATGAAACCACGTTCATGCTGAACTTGAGTTTCATTATTATCTCCCCATTCCTCGACTGCAAAAGCGGAATTGGACATGCAGCTAGAAGCAAATAGCTCTTAGGCACTGCAATATAACATTTCCAGTCCAGAGCCTATCCTGCTAAATTCCTCTCTACTCCTTCCCTTTTCATGCATTTTGATTTACATTAGGAGCACTGTATACAGAAGCCTTTTGCGGACTAATGAACTACGTCTATAAGCAGATGGGCAGAAGTCAGAGTAAAAGCATTAAAAGAGAAACCAAGACTAAGAAGAGAGTTATGTGTCATCTTAAGGCTCCTCTCCTATGATCAATTCAAGAAAATCCCCAAATCTTCTAATTCGCGCATTCACAGTGATATCCCATTCCTCCACAGAAAACTATTGACAAGAGAAATCGAAATCATAATTAAAACAGAATTTACAAAGAAATCTACCTTAACAGTAGAGAGAACCAGAGTGGCGTGCCTCTCCTGCCACTCGTTAAGATCCTTCCGCACGTTCGATTCATTGGCCGGCACATCAGCCGGAGCAGGAACATCTTATACGCACACATTCAAAAGAAAGGAACAATTCTCAGACGCCTTGCAGAAAGAACACTAAAAAGGATCCACAGCATTCCCCCCAGAAAAAGGGGGGGAAAGAAACGAAAGCTCACCTTGGACCGGAAAGTTCTGGAACGTGCTGGAGGTCAGTCCCTTGACGAAATCTCTCAAATCGTCCGTGATTCCAAACCGCCGGAGCTCCTCTTCGGAGACGACGGCAGCGGCGGAGGACGAAGAAGAAGGCGATGAGGAAGAAGACGCGGCATCGGAGGCGCCGCTGACGATTGAGAGGGAAGAGAGTTGCGAAGGGATGATGTCGGAGATGGACTTGATCTGGATCTGGTCGGCTTGCTTGAGCGCGGCGACTTTGAACTCGTCGGCCTTCTTGGAGGCCTCGAGGGCGAGCTCTTTCGACTTCTTGGCGGTCTCGGCGACTAGATCGGCGATCTTGTTGGAGGAAGTGGTTAAGGTCTGTGACGTCTTCGCGGCTTCCTCCGCGAACAGCTTCGCTCTCTTCCAGAGATCTTCCATTTTTTTTCGTTCTCCTCTCTTCTTCTTCTTCCTCCTCCTTTCTTTCTTCTTCTGCGGATTATTTTCTTCGGACTGTTGGCCCGAAGCTGCAAGTGCAAGTTTCCGCTTTCAGCTTTTCGTTAGTGGCGCTGATTGGGCTGGGAGCCTGGGAGTACGATGTCGTCCTCTCGTCGGTGAAGACTGAAGAGGCCCAAGTTAATTGGTATTTGGTAGAAAATGATAAGTGGACCCATATGTCCAAAACCAATTTAGCGGAGGTTTTTTTTTATTTATAAGAATTTAGCTGAGGTTTGACTAGGAATGGCAATGGGCAGCTTCGGGACGGGTTTGTTGGTACTCAGACCTGTTCCATGGCATGTCGTTTCAGGTCGGGTAATTTATTACGGGTCGTAGGTCGGGACAGGCCGATTCAATGGGTATGCAATTTATATGAAAAATATTAGAAATGTTAGTTATTTTTATTATAAGATCAAGAAAATAAACAATATTATGATAAATTTAGTTAAATTATTGGAGAAATTGAGGTTTTCACTAATTTACAACTTTGTTATAGCTAAAATATGATGTAGTAAAAGGAAAATCCTAAACAGTTTGACTAAGATTACAAGTAATTTATGCAAGGATGGGTCAAGAATGGGGCTGGTCAGGACAGGTCGGGTCGATGAGAGTACCCATGCCCACCCCGCCCCAAAACAGAGCAAACCGGTCGGGTAAAATGGATCAGGTCGAAATTGTCATCCCTATGTTTGATCAAATTGGAAAGGGTTAATATATTTGTATAGCCTGGACTTTTCACATAATAAATAGGGTATACCTATGGTGACATGCATGTCACAGTAACTTGTTACTTTTAGGTCGACTTCATATAGGATTAGGCCGACCTAATATGTCGTTTCAGTTTTGTGAGGTTCCCGAATACACTAATGTGGGCACCCTGATGACTTATCACGGTCGACCTTTAAAATGTAGTGGTCGACCGTTTGTAATTTAAGTTGTCATTGTTGGTCGACCACAATAAAACATTAGTCGCCCTTTTCATTGGCGTCAGAAGCAAAATGGTCGACCGTAAAGGTATATAGGTCGACCACTTGATGGCGGTCATTAACAAAGTGGTCGACCATTTACAGAAAGAGGTCGACCAGATAGAAGAGAAGTGTTGTATCCATTTATCCATCATCATTTAACGTAAAATGAAGATCAAGTGTTGGTTTCACGGTCGACCAAATCCGGTACGAGGTCTACTGAATACAAGAAAATCAACTTATGCCCTGCGCCTTTTTTGCTTATGTATGTCGATGTGAGTGGTTCTTTTGCTCGTACAAATTACGTTTCAAACCAACAGAATCAATCATAAATAATGATAACAAGGACTCATAACTTCCACGTGGTCGACCTCTTGAATCTCGTAATGCTTGCTTCGGGTTGTGCGGGTGACCCGCAGACCCACCCATGACTCACCCTCCACCCGTCGGATAGCCCCCAACTGGACCCGCCATCCACCCACAGACCCACCCACAAAAGCATGAATCGGGTTAAATGCGGATGGGTCGGTTCAAATCCGCGGGTGACCCGCCCGGATGCCCACCCCTAGTTTAAAGGACTTAGTAGTTATTAAATTTTTGATGTTATTTAATATTTATTGTTATGAATTTTGGACTATCCTATATTGGGTTGTAGACTTGAAATTGTTTGTTGGTAACTTAGAAAGTACTTGGTTAGTTTTTTTTTGTTACATTGGGTTTTGAGCTTTGTTGTTGGTGTTGATGCCTTGGGATACCAAAGTGGTTTTGTTAGCTAGTATTCAGTATTGAAACAATATATATTTTATTTCGATTGGTTTTGGAGGTTCATTTTCTACAATTCATTTGCTGGCTTATGGTTCGGGGACCAAACATTCATGGTCCGTTGAGAAGTACTTCCTTTTGTAAAACTTGGCCAAAAGATAATCGGGTTCATTAAGAATCCGCCATCCAATCTTAGCCAGTATATCCTCATTAAAATGCTCAAATCAATGAAACCCCACCCCCTTCATGTTTACTTCAACACAAATTCTGCTAGGAGATCCAACGAATACGCGGACGACCCCCTTCAACACCCCCACCAAAATCTAGCCACGTGGTTATCTAGAATTTGATAAAGGGATCGAGGAAGCTTGAATCAAGACATAACATAAAACGGCAAAAAAGCCACAATTGATTTAATGAGTGTCTCATTCGCCGCCACTAGAGCACCTTCTGCTTCCAATCCTGTATATCGGAAGGTAGCCATCTTGGACTCAACAACCAAGGTAGGCAGATGGTTGTTGATCCACATGCAAAATTACTATTTGCCGTCCTATAAATTACCCCTAGCGCTCCTACACCAAGCCGGAGAGCAAGGATTTCTTGATCCACAGGCAAAATGTTCTTGCTAAAGCACACTTCTGATTTAGCAACGTTGATCCTTTGCCCACTGCGCTCCTCATATTCGTTCAAAACCTCAAACAGATTTCACACTCTCGCATCGAGTCTCTAAGAAATAAATATGAATAATCTGCAAAGAACATATGAGAAATGCGGGGGGCTTTAGGGTTAACCCGAACACCTGCTAACTTCTGTTTATGGATGGCTTTTCGAATGAGCGCTGCAAACCCCTCTGTACATATGAATAATAGTAGGGGGACAAGGGATTACCCTATCAAAGTCGCCGCGTCGATTTTAAAAAAACCGGCGGAGGTGCCATTCATAAGGACAAAGAAAGACGGGGAGCTCAAACATTCTCAAATCCACCGTACCCAAGTCGGGCTAAACCCCATTTAATCCAAAACCACAAATAAGAACGACTATTCGACTCTATCATAAGTTTTTTTTTTAGGCGTTGATTTAGAATTAGAAATCTAAGTCGAAATCTTATAACAAGACTAACAAAAATTACACAATTTACCATATGTAAAAATATGAAATATAAATCACAATTTCGGGAAAAGGTGGATATTTTGAATGATACAGTAAATATGGTTTCGCTTTTGGGCCGGACTAAATCATACAGCCTGCCCAACCGTAACGTGTAGGCTTTTGATCTCATTTTCAGCCCATCATCATTGTTTCCGTTTTTACCCTTCTCCCTTCGCTTAGATTCACAAATACCCTAGTGGTGAAAACGTCAAACCACAAGGGCCACAGTCCTCCAATCTCTTAAAACCAAACCCTAATAGCCTTCCTCCAAACTCCATTTCCGCCGCTGGAAAACCCCTCAACACAAATCACACACATCCGCCGCCGCTGCTCCCTCCAATGACGACCCGCTTCAAGAAAAACCGCAAGAAGAGAGGCCATGTCAGCGCCGGGCACGGCCGTATCGGCAAGCACAGGAAGCATCCCGGCGGTCGCGGTAACGCCGGAGGTATGCACCACCACCGGATCCTGTTCGACAAGTACCATCCCGGTTACTTCGGCAAGGTCGGTATGAGGTACTTCCACAAGCTGAAGAACAGGTTCTTCTGCCCGATCGTCAACATCGACAAGCTCTGGTCGATGGTTCCTCAGGAGGTCAAGGATAAGGCTGGGAAGGATGGCGCCCCGATGATCGACGTCACTCAGTTTGGCTACTTCAAGGTGCTCGGAAAGGGAGTCTTGCCGGAGAACCAGCCTATCGTGGTGAAGGCGAAGCTCGTGTCCAAGACCGCCGAGAGGAAGATCAAGGAAGCCGGCGGAGCGGTTGTGCTTACTGCCTGAAAAATGAGTAATTTTGTTTTCCTAGGGTTTATTCGCTTGTTATTTGAGATAAGTTTATGGAACTGAGGTTAATGTTTTGTTTGTGGATTGATGGAATTTTGTCATGGATGATATTTGGTTTATGCAAAGATAGATCTACATTCTGAAATCTGCTTTGTTGCCCCCTGAATTTTATGTTTGTGGATTGTTGTGTCTTGCATTTGCCCTAGTTAGATTGGATTCGTTTCTTTAGGGTTTTGGATTGATGGATAATTTGGGTTCATTCCGACCTTGACTCATGACCAGTTGCATTTAGGGATTCTGTGGGGATTTTGAATGGTTTTGTATTGGATGCTAGATGTGATGTGTATGAGACGTTTGATGGAATACTAGATAAGTGAAGGAGTTGAGGCAATGTGGTTTGGTTTGCTTAGGTCCGTAGAAAATGCGTCTTGGTCTTATTATTAGATAGCATTGTGTTGATGTGTTTTCCACTTACATTTTGGTTGATGGAGGTGGGTGCAACCAAAATGAGAAAATGCAGAGTTTTGAAACTTGAGAATGTCCAGAATAGGGTTCCAGGCAAGGTTTTACTGTTCTTGATGATAGTTGTTTGTATTAGGCTGTCGTCTCTGGTTTTATATTAAGCTAGGTTCCTCTGCTCTAGGGGTGCAATGCTGACCCTGAAAACCCGAAGACCCGACCCGTCCCGTCCCGTCCCTAAGGGTCGGGCCGGGTCTATTTGCATAGAGGGACAACTTTGGGACGGGTCTTCTCCTTGTCCCTGTAAGGGTCGGGTCAAACTGTACTCTGTCCCTAAAAAAGCCCATCTGACCCGAAACCCCACTTTAGACCCGTAAAAATTTGAAAACTAAAGAGAACAAACACTTCTCCACTCTCCATTCCTCTCGATTACTTTCGTATTTCCATTGACCTAAAACCATTCAATCTTCACCCTTCATTCTCGGCGACTGCCGGCGATTGTCGTCCGGCGTCGACGCCCAGTCCTCCTTCTCCAACCGCAAGGACGATTGCCTTCCTCGTCGGCCGCGAGGGCTTGGAGAATCCCTTCACGAACCCTCCATCCCTCTCATCCATTAACCCTAAAAGCTCGACTGATTGTTGCGGTAAGTTTCCTCTCCTTTGCTGTGTTACAAACCTCGATTGATTGACCAACGAACCCCACTAGGGTGTTTTCTTTTCTTTTCATTTTGTTGTTACTTTCTTCCGATCCTTTTGAAAACCCAAGAAAAGGTACAATGGGGGAATTTGATTCCTTATTGAGTGGGTTGTGGACTGTGGATAGATGGCTGGCTGTTGTTGTAGTAGTAATTGTCGTTTGGACTTTTGGAAGGAGGGTTTGGGATTTGAGATGAGGGAAAGGGAGTAAGGTGAGAAGAAGAGGATGATGAAAGCAATTTGGGTCGACACAGAGTTTCCCTTTCAATTAATCTAATGGAACTATTATTACTCCATTTGTAGTCTATTATATTCCCTATATATGTCCGTCTGGTCTGTTCTTGTCTTTCTAGTTCTTCTCTCAAGTTCATGGGCATGTGGCATACTTCAGATCATCCCTGTTCTTCTGTGTTTTTTGCTTTTAACCTTTCCTGGTTATGAATTTACCACTGGGTATTTTCTTTATGGCAACCCTTTACTGATTCAACTATGATACTTGGAATGTAAATTAAGTGTAGTAACTGGTTGCTAATTTTGTGTAGTAACTTCCAGAACACAAAAATTGTTGTTATATTGTCTCTAAGCAAAATTGGTATTGTCTAATTCTGGTACAGCCGGCATGATATCGAGGCGATCAATGGAGCATGGGGGATGATAGCCATAGGTCTCACAGCAGGTTTGGTCATTGAAGGTTACTCTGGGAAGACCATAATAGAACAGGTCAGTGATGAGGTCTCTATCTATCATATTAATCTGGATTTACTCTTTTGAAGTCTTGTTGATAACTTGACTGAGTTGTTTCTCCCTTCAGTTGGTCGGGTACTTGTCTACCATCTTCCCTATTTTCGTAAGATAGCTTCGAGTTTTGGGACCAACATCACCTGAAGTTATAAAGGTACTTGTTCGATCTGCCTGCAAAATTCTGTCTCTTGACTTACACAACACAGAAAATGAAAGAGAGGAGATGACACTGTTTATAAATAATGCATCATGCCAGAGCAGTAGTGGCTTCTGTTTATAAATAATGCTTTGATGTTGAAGTTGATAAAGGAGGGATCAGTTGCATTTTAATGACTATTTATGCTTTGAAGTTGACCAAAGAGCAGCTTGCATCTGTACTGTATTTATACTTAGAATAGCTAGCAAAGTCTTGGAGAGGGCAAGAATTAAACAAATGATAGGATCAATGCAGTCAAAATCGCGTTTTAAAACTTAAAAACTTACGATTTTACGCTTTTAGGTCACCAAAACGCTTTCGTTTCCATATAAAAACTTAAGTGTATAAAATCGGACTAAATTGCGCTTTAAAGCTTAAAAGCTTACGCTTTTACGCTTTTAGTTCACCAAAGCGCTTTACGTTTTTACGCTTTTAGTTCACTAAATGGGTATTCTTTTCATGAAATTAATTATAAAAAGTAATATTTAAAAGTAAATCACCAACAATATAATGCATTTGAGATGAAAAGATGCATACCAAGTACTTAGATGCATTCTCAATTTCAATAGAGTAATCTAATTCACCAGCTAGGCTCTTCCCGAATTCATTAGCATAGAGGAAAAAGTGGCTTATTGTTAAATTTTATGTTTACGAACTTATTATTAAGATGCTATAAGTTGCTCTGCTTTAGACATGAATTGCATGTATTTATTAACTTATCTAAATTATGTGCATTCATATTTTACATAGTATGTGTCTTACTTAATAGATTTTTAGTTATTTTTCAGTATGCGTCAAAAACTTACGCTTTTACGCTTTAATTCTACGCTTTACGATTTTACCTCTTTTCCGCTTCTAGGTAGAATCGCGCTTTTGACTGCATTGGATAGGATATTAATATTTGATTCATTAAAATGGCAGGATATGGATGAAGCTAGCAGTAATCCCATGGAGGTCTCCACCAATGCACCTTCTCAAGGAAATCTTCCATTGGAAGTTGATGAAAATGAAGAAGGTACATTCGGAACTTCAGCTGTATGGGAGCATTATAATAGACAAAATTGGTCGGATAAGGAAACTAGAAAAGCTGTTTGCAAATATTGTTCATCGAAGTTAAAATGTCCATCTACTTTTGGAACAAGTGGTTTGAAAAGGCATTTGCAAAGATGCAAAAAGTATCCTTATAGTAATCATAATCAGAAGAAATCTAGAACTCCTAGCGCTCAAGGTACCAATACTACAGCTCAGGGTACTAGTAGTGCTTCTCCTACTTTTACACCTCACACATATGATCCAGTTGTCTCAAGGATGAAACTTGCTAGAATGATCATTATTGACGAGTCACCTTTTAGGCAAGTTGAGCATGAAGGCTTCCGTGACTTTGTCCATTCGCTAAGACCTGAGTTTCACATCCCTTCTAGGATCACCATAGCCAAAGATTGTTTTAAGTTGTTTTTGGCTGAGAAGGAGAAGTTGAAAAATTACTTCAAGCAGTCACAGATTAGAGTTTGCCTCACAACCGATATATGGGCAAGTAGACATCATTTGGACTACATGAGTCTAACTGCTCATTTCATTGATAATGAATGGAAAATGCAGAAAAGAATTATCAACTTCTCTCCCATTCCTAATCACACGGGTCTCACGATTGGAAAAACGGTTGAAAAACACATGCTTAATTGGGGAATTGATAGGGTTCTAACCGTGACAGTCGATAATGCAAGTTCGAATGATGTGGGCATGACATATTTGAAGAAGAGGATTAACAATTGGAAGGGGAGTGTGTTGAAGGGAATACATCTTCACATGAGATGTTGTGCTCACATATTGAGCTTGACTGTGAAAGATGGATTGAAAGATGTTGATGATTCAATCCATCGTATTCGGTCCGCTGTGAGATATGTGAGGTCATCAAACTCCCGAATGCAGAGATTTAAGACTTGTGCCCATGAGGAGAAGTTGGAGACCAAGAAACTAGTGTGTTTAGATGTGGAGACTAGATGGAATTCCACTTTCTTGATGTTGGAGTCCGCTTTGGTATTTAAAAGAGCATTTGAGAGGTTAGAGGAAGAAGATGATAAGTATAAAGTTGAGCTAGAGAAATTGAAAGGGACACCAAATGAGTTGGATTGGCATTACGTGGAGTCTCTAGTTCCTTTTCTGAAGATTTTTTATGATGCTACAATGAAAGTTTCGGGTTCTTTGTATGTCACAAGTAATGATCTCTTTCATGTCATATATGGAATTGCTTGTAAGCTTACAAAGGAAACTTCATCAAAAATTGAGAGTCATAAATCCATGGCAAGAAGAATGAAAGCTAAGCATGATAAGTATTGGGGCTCCTTTGATAACATCAACCCTTTGCTGTTTATTGCTGTGGTTCTTGACCCGAGGTACAAGTTGGAGTATGTTTGTTTTGCGCTTGATGAGGTTTATGGGATAGAACATGGGGGAATTTGGACTAAAGCTGAGTTGTTTGAGAGTGTGAAGGGATTTTTGGAGGATATGTTTAATGACTATTCGGAAATGAGAGGGGTTACTTGTGAAAGCTCATCAAGAAGTGTGGGGAGTGCAACACCAAATGAGAATGATGAATCTGAAAGTGTGGAAGATTATTTGAAGAAAAAATTCAAGAGAAAGAGAATGGAAGAGAGGGTGGGAGAAACTTCACTTTCGGAGCTTGAGAGGTACTTAAAGGCGAATCTTGAGGATGATGAGGACATAACTTTTAACATTTTAGCATGGTGGAAGAAGCATTCTAGTGAGTATCCAATACTGAGCTTGATGGCTAGAGATGTGTTGGCGATTCCAGTATCCACAGTGGCATCTGAGTCTGCTTTCAGTACCGGGGGGCGCGTTTTAGATGCATTTCGGAGTTCTTTGACTCCCTTGGTTGTTGAAAGTTTAATTTGTGGTCAAAATTGGCTTCGCTCGAGTACTCTTCCAATCGACATGGAAGAGAATTTTGAAGAAATCGAAGAACTTGAACAAGGTATGAAAAGTAATTTGTTTTTAACATTCACTATTTTATTTAGATCATTATTAATTTATTTGATGTGTTGTTAATTTTGCAGAGTTGAAAGAGTCTTGCTTGGATGATTGTACTATCATGAGTGATTTAGTTGACGATGATTGAAGAATGGTGTACTTGATTATTATCGAACAATGATGTCTTGTGTGATCATGAGTATGATGTACTTGATTATTATCGAACAATGATGTAATGTGTGATCATGAGTATGATGTACTTGATTATTATCGAACAATGATGTCATAGATGATTATTTAATAATTGATGTCATTTCATCCTTTCATCAAGCACATATATTATGGGAGTTTGGTAAATAATTTGGTAAATAAATAATTTTCTGAAATTATTTTGGCAATTGATTAATTTTCTGGAATTAATTGGGTAAATAAATAATTTTCTGGAATTATTTTGACAATTGATTAATATTTTGGAAATATGTTGGTGATTGATTAAATTTTTGGAATATTTTGGTGATTAATTAATTTTTTCGAATTAATTTGATGAATAGATAATTTTATGAACAGAGATTCGTAAATAAAATGATTTTTTGAAATTAATTTCGTAATTGATTAATTTTCTGAAATATTTTCATAAATAAATTATTTAACTAATTAATTAATTAATATTCTGGAATTAATTTGATAAATAAATGATATTCTAGAATAAATTGGGTAAATAAATAATTTTCTGGAATTATTTTGACAATTGATTAATGTTTTGGAATTATGTTGGTGATTAATTAAATTTTTGGAATTATTTTGGTGATTAATTAATTTTTTGGAATTAATTTGATGAATAAATAATTATCTGAACTGAAATTCGTAAAAAATTATTTTTTGAAATTAATTTCGTAATTGATTAATTTTCTGAAATAATTTCATAAATAAATTATTATATGAATTAATTAATTAATTTTCTGTTTTTTTTATAATTTGGTATTTAATTTTGTGTCGGAGAGGGTCGACCCGCTGACCCGTCCCGTCCCGACCCGTCCCGACCCTAAAGGGTCAGACAGGGTGAAGAAGAGAACAGGGACGGGACGGGTCGATTATGCAAGCTGTCCCTTTAGGGACGGGACAGACAGGGTCAGGGACGGGACAGGGACGGGACAGGCAAATTTTCAGCCCTACTCTGCTCTATGTCAAAACCAAACTGGAGGGCAATGAAAGAATCTTGAATGACTTGTACTGCAGCTTTATCGTCTGCAGTTTGTGGTTAATTGATGGCTTTTTGCACTTTGTTCAATACTAGACCATCCATCTTTAGCAATAATATTACTGAGCCCTTCTGCAGTTCTGCATGAATGTCTATGGTCTGTGGTAATTTGTGGTTATGCTTGAATTTGGGTGCTAGATTGCAGAGGCAGTTTACCTGCCAAGGTCTCGTGATTTCGTTGTTATCCTGTGTGTTGGGTCCTACTGTTTCTATTCAAATTGTGCAATAGCAAACTTCTTGCAGTAAGGAAAGCTACATTATTCATCCATCTTTGCTGTTAAGTTTCCAGCCATATAACATGATCTGGTATTACCCGGGAGTGCAGTACTCCACATTAGCTTTGAAATGTTGATGAAGTTTCAGCCATTGGGGATAAAATTGTGGAGGATACTAGATTCCATTTCTTGTCAAGCATTCATCTCTTTGGTTCCCTTCATCTCCACACCATCTTCTTATCCTGTTTTCTGCAGCAGAGGCCTGCATTTCCATAGCCCCGAACCAGTTGTCAGGTTTTCATCCACTTTAACCAGTTTGGTCAACTTTCTAATAAACAGAACCATCAAGACGCACCTCTTTTTTGCGCGGATGGTTCTGTGAATCATCCAGAAGAGAGCCGTAGTCTGTAGTATTGTTCCTCTAACTAAGCATACCATACCCGACCCCCTGCAACTTCCAGAGTTCGATAACTTCAACAAGTTCCGCGAGGCTGACATGATTACTATGTCTATTTCTTTGCTCTCAAGCGTTTCAGACCCCTTTACCTTGACACCCAGGTGAATCCTGTAACCAACAATAAGACCGTCGGGAATCCCAAATGCGTAGTAGCAAGGATCGCTCACGAATGCCACTGCTGCTTGCCATCCTTCTCCAATGGCGACGGGCCACCCCTAAACTGAAAAGAAATAGAACCACTTCACATTCCTGCAGATCAGTTCCCCTGATGGCGGCTCCAGAAGCTGTTCAAAGTAAGAGTTTACCAGAGTGAAGAGGCTGCACATAATTGATGACGATGGAGAGGGCTAATAATGGCGTGAGTACCTTCACTACTAGTGCCTTGACGTCAGTGTCGCTGGAGAATAAGATCCCGGTCAGGAAGGACGGACGATATCACTGCTCTGAGACTGGAGGAACTTGGCGATCGGAAAGTTGACCGCGCAGGCGAACTGATGCAAGAGCATGTAGATTGAGGAGGTCCCGGCAGCTCTAGAGGTCTCCGGCGTCTGGCCTATCCGTTCATGGAATGGTGCGGCGAAAATGTAGACGAAGCTGAGAAGGAAAGCTGTCGTTGTGAGGATTACCCATGAATATGATCGTTGCATTGCATGTAGAATCCTGACATGTCCACTTGTTTTTCCTATCATCAGCTGTAAAGGAAGATGATGATAAAGAAGGAATTGGGTCTTGCCACTGCTGTATATTGTTGTCCAGTTAAGATATTAAAATGGAGGACTAAACTAACATTTTAGTCCAGTTAAGATAAATTAATGGCCATAAAAAGATATTTGCTTATATGGATAATGCAATAAACAATATTTGAATATAAAACCTGGTGTGCATTTTGCAAAGTGTTTATCTACAAATAAAGACAAATAAATGTTTTATTTTTATGCCCCACCTTATATGGATCAAATTGTAAAACAGTCTGACATTTGAGACACCGACAACTCACATAAGTAATCTCGTCTCAATATTAAAGGCATTGTGTTGTAGAGCCAACGATTACATGCTAACAGCCTGTTCCGATTGTCACACTCATTTACATCTTGCAAAATTTCTGTCTTCAACTTCATCTTATCACCCTTCCATTTTTTTGTTGCACTACACCAACATAAGATTGGACAAATACTTCAAAGAAGAAAACAACAAATACAATACCGACGAGATGTAATAACTAATAACATGGATGTGCCGATTAACGTCATTGTCAGTCTTGTTTAGCTGAAAGACTAATGCAGCAGTTTGTTAATATCGCAGAGCGACCTGTCCATCTCATCCCCATTTCTTTATCCGGTCTTCCGCATTAGAAGCCTGCAACCAAAACCAAATACAACTATTACTCATTAATCATTCATTTTATATGTCATTATTTTGCTGAGTGATGTGTAATGATTAATTTGACCCAATTGTTGTTTTATTTTAAGACAAATTTATCAAATTGATCCATTTGTCTATAACTAAATTGGATAGATCAATTTCATATGGAGAATTTCGAATCTGTTTATTTTGAATCAATTCCAATTATCTAGATAGGAGGTAGATAATTCGAATTAATTCATTTTAATTTACTCATTTTATAAAATGAGGAAACTAACCAATTTTATCTCGTTTCTAAATTGATCCATTCAAACTATTGATAAATTCCTTCTAGCAAGGTAGCTAGAGAAAAAACTTGTTAACTAACCTCCGTGTTCCAGTTAGTTTTGTAGATCATCCAGTAAAGCACAAGAGTTTGCACCACCGTTCCAGCCATCATCCCTGACCAAATCCCCTGCCACACACAATAAATTGATTTGAAAGTGCACAATGCTAACAATTTTAATCCATAGACTAAGGGAAAAATCATGAAGGACCTATAAAGAAGTTCACAAAATATGAAGTTCAATTATGTTACTAAATTGCAATTCTTGCAAACTCATCCAATATGTAATTAGACAAGCAGATAGATGACACTTACCATGACACCCATATCAAATTGGTAGCCTAAAATCAAGCCCAACGGAATTCCGAACAGATAGTAGCAACCAATATTCACGTACGCCACAACTGCTTGCCATCCCGCCCCAATCGCAACGCCTGTAACAACAACAATAATTGCGTCGGAGTTGTAGTCCTGCGGCTGCTAATATTACTACCTATGTCTTCTAAGATTGATTGATTACCAGAGAGAACAGGCTGAACATTGTTAATGACGATGCAGAGAGCCAGCATCGAAGTCATATCCTTGACGACACGTTTCACCGCCGGATCGTTGGAAAACAGAGACGGGTAGTGGTCTTTAGTGACGACCAAAACGAGTGCAAGGGCGACGCCCACCATAAAAGACGACACCACGGCCACTACCAGCGAGAATCTCGCCGTTCTCGGATGACCTGCTCCCAATTCGTTGGAGATCCTAACACTGGAAATAAGGTAACCAATAATGGTAAAGAGAAAAGATATTGCATATAAGCATCACCGCAACAAAATATTTTCCTACGACTCGAGTTATTGGAACTGAATGTCTTATTTGTTAACATAGTATCAAAGTTTTCGAGTGAGTGAGAGGTCTCATGTTTGAATACATCGAAATATAAACAATAGTTTAACACAAGGAGGATATATTCAACCTAGTCATGCAAGTTGAAAGCCTAAAAGCAGGCGCCTTTCTTTTGAAAGACTCGTAAAAGTAAAGGAACGACATAAAACTCATAACGAAATGTTTTAAATTATTATGACTGGAATGTTTATTCGTTAAGATTAATTAATTAATTAATTAAACAACAATTTCTTCAACCTAATTGCCAATAGGAACAAGATAAGGTCTATATATATGTATATAGAATCATGACCAAAGACAAAATACGAACCTGATTGCTGCATTCATTCCAAAAGCCGCCATGATGGTCCACCCCAAAATGTTCATGCTGCATTATTGCAAAGAAATTATTGATCGATGAATTCATGTCCGCCAGTTAAGTGCCCTTAATTATTGGAGTGTGACTTATATACCAGATGGACAGAGCAGCCACAGATACTTCAGCATCCTTGAGATAGCCAGCAAATAGTATCAATACCATGAAGTACCATATCTCCAAGCTGCATCAAACGAGAAGCAAGATGATCAGGTCCCGTAATAGTTGATCGAAAGATATTGTGATCTAATTTTTGTGACCTCATTAGTTAACATATAGCCCGGGCCGGTCCTGAGATTTTGGAGGCCCTGTCATGCATACAAAATGTGGCCTAAATTATTTTTTGAAAAAATCCAATAAAATATAAACAAAACATCAATCAATAAATCAAATTCATAACATTTTTAAAAATAATATTTTATCTGATATGATTTGAAATAAAGAGTGAAAGTGATTTAAATAGCATAATGTAATTAAAAATTTGATTATTTGGGAGATTGAATCGAAAAGTCCGAATGGTAACTAAATTGACAATGAATCAATTAATTAGACTCACCTGAATATGTTATGAGAATTGAGTAGAAGATGAAAATAATTTTAAGAATCAAATAGTATAAACAAATAATAGAGTAAATCATATTAGATAGGAGAAACTGATAATTTTTTCAGCCTAAAGTTATGTATGGTACAAGCTTTATTAACTTATTCCCCCTACTATTGGAGGCTTGTACCTAATTATTTCGGTTAACGTTTAATGAATCAACACGGACTATTTAATTAATTTAGCATTGCTGTCTTACTCGTACAAGCAGATTAATTGACGAAATTGAATTTTTACCCCTTGGCAAAGCTAGTGAATGAATTACAAAGCTTAAATGAAGAACGTCAAAGAAAAAAATTTAATAATTCTAATAATTAGGCATCAACAAAGTTAACTTTTTTATTCTATTTAGGAAACACACGACAAAAAATAAGTTCTGTTATATGATTTGAAAGAAGTCTAATAAGAAACAAGTATTCTCCTCATGTGATCGATTCATTCCTTCAGCTTTTGAGCTTAAATTTTTTTAATAATTTTTTATCATTTTAAATTTTTAATAACCCGTCCAGCACACCCTCAGGGCCGACCCTACATATAGTATTCAGATTTTTCAAAATTCAATTCCATATAAGTTGACTTTTATGAGGGGGTGTGTTAGTAAATAGCAAAATTTATTTTATCATGTGTATTATTTTCTTCTAATTGTATCCACCTTACACTAAATCCTGGCTATTGTCCTGTTATTACGCCTAGACAATTTGATGCATAGGGATTTATGGTATTGTACTACACCATAATTTCTAATGAAAAAAAGTCTACACTTCTATACCGTAAACCCTAACATTAAGATTTCGTTTGGTTTTGGTGATACTTAAATCAATGCATTGTGGACAATGCATGCATTGTAATATACATGCAATTTAGAGTAATGATGTAATGTACTTTACATTGTTTGGTTTTGGTAATAGTTCTTTCAGTATTCAACATGTTATATTACTTTTTGTGAGAAAGATCACTTTTGCCCTTACTTTTATGATACCATATATATAATTAGAGGTATACTTGGAACAAAAAGGGAACCAGACAATCTCCTCAAAACAATCTCAAGTTTTAGTAGAGATAGTACTATCACTCATTTTGAGTGATAGTTTCCATCACATCAAGCAAACAATGCATGTATTGTTTGTGCATAAAATTTTAAACAAAACAATGCATTATGGACAATTCATGCATTATAACAATCTCAATCAAACAATCACCAAAACCAAACGACTAACTAAAAACCATAATCGATGATTCCACGTGACATTTTGTGATAGTTGATTTCTATCCCACCTTATTCTATCAAATATTTTGTCCTAATTAAACGTCAGATCTAATTTCAATTCTATCCTCATTAGCTTCAGATTCTAAACTTTGAACAATTGCTTATTCGAAATCACTCTCCCAACGTCTATGTTAATGACCGAAAGGGACGGCGCGGTGGCGTCGCCTGAAGGATGCGGCCCATCTCCCATTTATTATGGAATCCATCGCTAATTAATTAAGCAAAAGTTGACTTACCAAACCATGACAGCCGACGCTAGCGACAACCTCACGAACCCCCACAAATTACGGAACGCCTTCCACGTGAACCCGCCCCACGCCTTCCCGCACCCCCCGCCGACCACGTACACGAACTGCGCCGCCACGATGAACCACCACGCCCCGTCCAGCAGCGCCGCCGCGCCGGCGAGCCCCCACGGCGGATTCACCACTAAAAGCGCCCAGTTGAGGGCGGCGTGGAGGACAAGCGCCGCCGTCGCGATCCCGGCCATCACGGCCATCTTGCTCTGGGCCTGCAGGAACTTGGCCATGGGGAAGTTGAGCGCGTAGGCGAAGAGCTGGGGGAGCATCCAGATCGCGAAGGTACCCGCGGCGCGTGAGATGGACGCGGGCTGGCCGATCAGGCGGAGAAGTGGGGCGGCGAAGATGTAGGTCAAGGTGAGGAGGGATGACGTGGCGAGGAGTATGACCCACGAGCGTTGTAGGTAGACTCCTAGCATGTCCACCTGTCCTGCCCCGTAGGCTTGCCCGCACAGTGTTTCTAACGCGCTTCCCATGCCAACCTGGAATATTGAAAGAAATTAAGGGGAATATGATTATATTATATTATATATGAGTTTTTGTTTTCGGTGTTCTCTTTTTTTTTCGAGTGCATGCTTATACATCCGTTTTATAGTCGTCAGTTGGAAATTTGTTTTTTTATGTGAAAATAGTTGTCACTTGTGATATGGTGGATAGAAAATATATGAATGGCGCATAAAACGTTCAAAATTATTTACTCCAATGTAAAAGTTTTTGTTTACGAATCTAGGGGTACGATTCAAAATTTCAGGTTCAGATCTTAGGTAATGTATGAATTATTAGTTGTGATCATATATTATACCATCGTATTAGACTAAATCTACCCATTGAAATTCAAAATTTAATATCTTAAAGCAAATTTTAAAGTTGTTTTCATCGTAGGCTCTAATTTTTGTGAATGTACCATAAAAAAGGAAAAAAATAATGCACAATGAATACTATACTAGCTAAGTCAACTATCAATTCGTCACTGTACTAAAACTATAAAAGAGAAAAATAATGCACAATTAATACAATACTAGTTAAGATTCAGAATTTAAGGTTTAGAGCTTAGATAATGCATGAATTAGTAGTAATGTTATATTATATCATCATATATATTATACTAAATTTACATATTAAAATACAAAATTTAGTATCTTAAAGCAAGTTTTAAGATAGATTGAATCGTATGCATGCACTATATATATATATATATATATATATATATATATATATTTTATGAATACTATATATTTTTTTTCAATGCACTGAAAAAAAAATGCACATTAAATTAAATACTAGCTAAGTCAACTATCAATTTCGTCACTGTACTAGAATACGATCGAAGAAAATACTATGAAACTGGACATTTATATATCATTAATTAATTAGTGCAGTTGGAAATGAATTGTATACAGTTTTTTTTTTTGCAATTGATCCATGTACGGTCTATATATATACTTATAAAAAGAGCGTACCATGGTGCCTAGGGAGAAGCCGGCGATGACAGAGTTCTCGACGGAGACGGCGGCGAGCTCGAGGGTCCCCACCTGGCCGGCGAAGACCTGGGTGACGGCCCCGAGGGAGTATTGGCAGATGGTGGTGAAGATGGCGGGGCCCGCCAGGAACCAGAGCTTGGCCGATTCGGCGCAGAACTCTCTGGAGAAGTCACGGAGGTTTGTGATCGGGGGTATGTCATCTGCGCCGGCGACGAAGGAGGCGGCCGCGGCGGCGGAGCTGTTTCTTTGAACGAGCAGCTGCTCATCGTCGTGTTTTTCCGCCATCGAGAGAGGGAGAGATGGGTGGGGGGAGAGAAGGGGAGGAAGAAACGGAAGGATTTAGTAATAATGCATGGAGGTGAAGATGGCGGCCCCCAGGCCAGGAAGGAAATTCCTTGGTATAAATGGAGGCTGCTAGTGCTGGGTGTCCAGCCGCCAACTAAAATAATGAATGAGTTTCATAAATGAGGGGCGAAGACTATGGTACCAGCCCAGGTGTGTACCGGTGCTGGGAAATTTGAGCGGTTAGATTGTTAGTAAGCAAATCATGGGCGTTAATGAATATTCATCACTCAACCAATATCGGTTGAACCGATTTTCTGCTATTGACCGATATCTTTTTTATTATTATGACAAATCAATATAATTTCATTAAGGATTGTTTGAAATTATTTATATATATATATATATATATATATATATATATATATATATATATGGGAAGTTCTAAGGTGCACATGGCAAAATCCGGGGTACGGAAGATCGGGGCAAGGAAAATTACAAAAAGCAACACGAAGCGTTAAACCTTTTTTCATTGGACTTCAACCTAACTGTACCCAGTTTAATTATATCGATTAAGAGGTTAAACCCTATGGATACGACCCACCGCCGCCCTAACCAATTCCAGTCTCTCTTCTACGATCCCTCATTCATCTTGGAGGGTCCCCTCTTAGCTCGAAGTTCGATCATAAGCTGCCTATCGAATATGAAATCTCCAAAAAAATCATCGTTTAGAAACCCAAATCCTTTTATTATTTGATCCACATTCTATTTAGCTCCCTATCCAATCTCAAATCCCCAGCATCATCATGTTTCATACCCCAAATCTATGTATCCACATTCGAAGAGAAGATCCCCATCCAATATGAAATCCTCACATAATCATCATTTTGAACCCCAAATCCTTGTATCCACAAATCGACGTTTTGTTCCTCGCCATTTTATTTCCGGCCGGAATTTTCTCACCTATCTCTTTCTAACACGATTACGGCGACCATGTCTATTATTGTGTTCATCAAACTTTTCATTTGCAAAAGAACCCTTGAAAGAGGTTTGCTAACCCTAGAGTTCATGTCGCTAGTGCATTGTCATCTTGTCTTAGCGTTATTATCATTTGCAAAATAACTTCTATCTCTCGGTGAAATTAAGGTTTCCTGATATGTAGTGTTCGTCTCGCCCAGAGGATTGAGGAAGAAGATGAAGAAGACAGAATTTGATTCGAATCGGATGGAGAGGTCGCCTTAATTTGTGTTTATGTATTAACGGTGCGTTTAGGACTAATTCTAGTTGGACTGGGATCCATATTATTTCTGGGTCTGATCATTGATTTTTGCAGGCTTTTAAATAAAATTTAAAAGTGGGCTTGTACATGATCCATGACACCTAGTTTGTTGATAATAGATACTGAGTTCTGGATTGTCATTAGGTTGGGCCTTTGATAATTGTCTATCCCAGTTTTCGGTTCTTTGTTTTACTTGATTTTATATTTTATTTACATATGCTTCTGCTTCTAAAATCCTGATCATGCATTGAGTTCACGCAATTTAAACATAATTATGTGTTCCATCTTTTTTGGGATTTGGTAAATGGTAGCGTGTCTCTTTACACATTTAGCGGTACGAGGTAAACTACAATCCGCCCAATTTAACTCTTCATTAATTGGCCCTATTCCACTCTCTCACTGATTGCCCCTCTTTATGGAATGCACTCATACATAACAAACCTCTTGTAGACTAATTAGAGGCTTGTGGTTGGATAACGAGTGAGGATATTTTTTTAATTTATGCTTTGAAACGAAAGTTAGAATTTCACTTTTGAAGTACCTATGTACTTTAGTTGGGCAAGTATTTTCAAAATGTAAAATTTTATCAGCGTATAGGTATACGATCGTTGTATAAGGTGTTGATGTTAAAGGAAATGGGTACTGACGGGTTAGGGTATTAGGTTGTTGATGGTATAGAGTATATGGTATATGGGTAGGTTATAAGGTGTTGATGGTTTAGAGCATATAGTATTGATTGGTTAGGGTGAGGGTATGTGTTGTTTTATTTTTCTCGATTTTATATTTTCTTTATATTTGCTTATAAATGCTGATCATGCCTTATTACTAAAAAAACTTAAGACATAACTATTGTAGCGTGACACATTTATCGGTACGAGATAAAATGCTTTGGTGTGTGCAAGTTAGGTTCTTATTAACGATTTTGCCTTGTTGGTTATCCTTGTTGGTGATCCGGCCATTAGCGATTCGCCACATATGGAATGAAAATTAGTTAGAGTTCTTAAGTTCATCTTTCTTCATTTATTCTTTGATTTGAACCTGCATGTTTTAGCTCCGAAGGATTTTGGAGTGGCGTGCTAAAGACAATCCGTCCAATTTAACTCTTCATTAATTCCCCCTTTTCCACTCTCTCACTCCCCCACGAAGCAGAAACAATCCCCTATGATATATTTACCTTTCATTTTAACCCTTCACTTAATAAGAAAGCGAAATTTCACATGATGATAATAAATGTCATGTAGCTTAATTGGTTAATTGTCCTTTAGTTGCTGAGTCAATAAAGTAGAGGTTTGTGGTTCGATACTTAGCGACTATCAATTTTTAATTTATGTTTTGAAATGAAAGTTAGAATTTCAATTTTGAAGTAACTATGTACTTTAGTTGGGCAAGTATTTTCAAAATGTAAAATTTTATGAGCGTATATGTATACAATTATTGTATAAGGTGTTGATGGTTAAGGTAAGGGGTTCAGTGTATTGAAGTCAACAATTTTTCTAAACTTGATATGCAATCTTTGACGGTTCATTGTTTTAGGCATATGACATATGGTTAGGTAGGGTATAAGGCGATGATGGTTTATAGTATATGATATTGGGTTAGAGTATAAGACCATCTCCATCCCTAAAATTGCTTAGCAATTTCTAAACGTGGTCCCTACCGCCACATCATCAATTTTGGCTATTCATCGCTTATCAATTTCTAGTCATCTACATCCCTAAATTATGCTAGCATTTGCCAAAGTGGGTCCCATTTACTATTTCAAAGCTACACAAACACTTATCAATTGAATAGTTAATAAACAATAAAATAAAAAAAGAAAATAGTTATCTATGTGGCATTGCTAGAAGAATTCCTAATTTAGCAATCTTTCTGTAACGTCTTTTAGAAACAAGTATAATTGTCTCAAAATATAGTAATAGAAGCACAAATATTTGTCTCTAAAATCAAATAAGAAGAGAAAATATAGACTTCTTAAAGTGGTATTACAATAAAAAAGATTTGACTCAAATTCCCCAATTAGAAACAAATATTATTTGCATCTATATTTGCTTCTAAAAGGAATTAGAGAAATAGACGTCCGATGCTAATAATTTATTTGCTTCTAATAATATATAGAAACAAATAATTGACTTTTAGATGCAAATTATCTCTGTCTCTATATCCAAGTTTTCTTGTAGTGTTTAGGGTTACAATAACATATACCAGATCAATAGATTAATTTTGCTAAAGGAAAAAGTTAGTTAATCTACAAAGCCAGTCTAAAAGCACATCCCCATCTCCCGCCGTTAATTCCTAAACTTTTCCCTTAATCCGAGGGTGAAAGACCGTCAACCCTTTCCGCGGCGTGTCACCCAATCAGATTTCGCCGTTTCTGGAAAGTCGCATTTACCCATAACCAATGCTGGCGTTACCAAGGTCGAGGCAGCGGTAGGGAGTTTGAATTTTAGTAAATGGGAAGGGCGGGAATGACAAAGTAATTTTATGAGTCCATTTATAAATTTGTTAATCAAAGAAGGAGAGACCATGCTCCGAAACCCGAGAGGCACTCATCTCCTGCTGCTGTTCGTTCCTCCTTCTCTCAATCCCTGAAAAGATCCCTTTCTCCCATTTTCTCGATATGAAACTCTGAAAATCAACCCTAGCCGCCTCTTCGTCCTCCTAAGTCCTGTCCCATGCTTTATTTTCGGGTGCAATGGTAATGATGAGACTGCGTATTATTTTTTATCTCAGTTCCTTTCATTATGTCCTTGTTAGATCATGACTGTTAAACTAACTCCTTCGTTTTATTGTTTCTTCTTTTCTCTCCATACAGGGTCTTTGTCGAAAAAATCATCATATGTTGTTACGGTTCCATAATAGGTGTTTTGGAACCCTATGTCATATGGTGGTTTTTTGTGCAATATTGACGCGTACATGTTGATCATGCTTCGAAAATATATACAAGAGGGGAAAGTTGCCATATGTATAGTATAAAAGAGGGAGGGAAAGTACATTGTTTTGTTTTTCAAGATTTGTACTTTTAGTGTTTGAGATCTTAATAGATCGGTGAGGGATCTTCCACTCCCAATAAAAATACTGTAGTTTATTTCTTGATTACTGACTCCATTTTCAGAAGTCTTTTACTATTGGGCCAACAATATTTTTTCCAGATTTCGAACTCTGCTCCTCTGTCGCCGCATGCTCTTGTCATTTCACGCCTAAAATAATAAAGTAAAATGGAAAAAGGAAAATTTTCATTTCATAATTTTAGTAACCAATATTAAATAAATTTATAAACAAGTAAAAAATAGGATATAATAATTCAATAAAAAAACGAGTGCTTAAAAATTATTCAACTGAAATGTTGCACATGATTTATTTAGGGTGCAACCTCCATATCGAATTAAATCAAATCCATCTGAACTATTCAGAATTCAACCAACAAACATCTAATTGCAAGACATCCGATTGAAGAACACAAAATGCAACAATCTTCTTATAAACCAAAGAGACACATATATAAAACGACACCGCAGAAGGCAGCAACCTTCTTATAAACCAAACGACGTCGCTTCAAGCTAACAGTGGCAGTCTTCACATAATCCTAATCCGAATAGGATAAGGACTTCCATCTTCACTTCAAGTTTTCCACACTGATCAAATAGTTGAAGCCCTTTTACACACGCATTCTGAAGAACTCAAGTGTCCAAAACTCTGGTCCTTAGGTTGCTACTTCTGGTAACAGGTCTCTTCTACAAAATCGATAACGACGATTTTAGTCGGACAAAAATATTGGATGCAACTACATTGTGTAGACACGGACAATT